AAACATATAAATAACTAGTCGTCCAGTAAGATTAATTCAATGTATACAAATACCAAAACGTAGATATTAATATTACAAATTTGGTGGCTATGAAACTAGAGAAAGTATCAGAAGACGGAGAGTGGAGACTGGAGAGACAGGCATTCGGAAAGGTGTCGACTCGGTGTGAAGAATCTGTTTGAGTTGAAAGGGAAGGAGACAGAGCCCATCCCTTTGATTTGTTTAGTGTTCAAAAAATAGGGAAATTAGGCTCACTACTCTAAAAAAGAAACCAATTAGATTAATACACTTAACATAAATTTAAACCTTTAATCACCGTAATTTTTACGTCTAAAAACCCACTCCATCTAAAAACCCACTCCATGTCTAAAAACCCACTCCATTCAATTAGATACACAAACAAACACAATGACCCGGCTTCGCTCACGATTTTTTCAATCTTTCATCAATGTCATCCCATTTTTCTCCAAATTTCGGTGGGCTTTCAATATTAATTATATTCCAACATCATTCATCTACGAATTCACACTTCCATCCAAAAAAATTTCAAGAAATGAATTGGTGAACAGATGAATTTCCACTTTCAGTTCTACTTTCGATCCGAATTCAAGGTTGGAATATGGGGATTCATTGGTCGACCCGAATTCGTTCTTCTATGCTGGCACAATGATGAACGGATGAATTTCATCTAGGATCTGTTCGCTGTCCGCATCCCCAATGATAAAATATTGGAATCTGATATGGCTGTTCGTGGATCGGTTCGGTTTGGTAATCGAACCGACCCAAAACTTTCGGGTATTTAATAAATGGAATCGTCGGTGTGAATTTCATCTCTGATCTGTTCGAGGCCCACATCCCCAATGATCAGATATTGGAATCTGATATGGCTGTCCGTGGATTGGTTCAGTTTGTTTCTCTTCACCCAAAGCTTTCGGGTATTTAATAAATGGAACGGTCGGGTGTAAATATAATTATGGAATCGTTGGGGTTTGGTTCCATTCGTTTCAGTTCGGTTCCTTACCATAATTAACTTTTTTAATATTTATAGCAACACTACATAAAAGACAACTAATGACATTTCATTCGTAACTTTTACAAATTAAAATTATGAAATAATCTGATTTATTTA